TTTACTTGTAGATATTTTTATTTTTTTTTAAATACCCCCCCCCCAGTTTTGGGGAACACTTTATTGCACTCAATTGTTTATACATCCATCAGACATGTTTATCCTTTTAACTCTCAAAACTCTGGACATAATAGACATTGAACAAATATTTCATCTTCAAAACACAACACTCATGTACCCATAATCCTCTTTATATAGCACGAGTAAGGCTGATATTTAGGCTTATTTAGGCTCACATGTGTATTTTGAGGAACAGAATATAATGTCCAACTTCTCTTTTTAAAGGTAAGAAACAACTCCTGCATTCATTTTCAAATTCAAGATGACATTCAGATGAGTATGTCACATGGTTTGGTCATAATTAATTTCCCTTTGTTTCCATTTCTAATGCTTAGCAAATGACCTTTAAAAGACAAATGCCAAACTATACTCTCCTACAGAAAACTGATTTTTCCTTTTTTCTTCATTTCCTCTGATCTTAAGAATGGGAAGGAGTCACTCAAGTTCTCACTATTATGCTCTGAGAGCCCTGGTCCCTGAACAGTTTTTGATCCTAAAAGGGCTTTTAACTTCAGTTTTTGTCACATATAAAAGCTGCATGTTGAGACCGAAGAAAACCCAAACATCTCATTTTTAAAAGAAATTCAACAGCCAATATTTTCTGGATATATAATCTCCTGGATGTTATAAAAACACCCATAAATACCTGCAGCATAGTTTAAACCTCTGTACTTACGCTAAAATGTTATAGAACTTTGGTTACTATGGAATTGTTAAACCTGTTTCATCTGAAAAATCTAATTCACATAGGCTTGTGATGCTTATTTCATCTTTGTTGTTGTAGTGTAGATATTTCTTATTGCTATTTTTCTTTGTCTGCCAGGTGCACTGTAGCCTCTCCAGTGCAGGATCATTGTCATTTTCTCCTCATCTGTCAACACTTAGCACATGTATAATGAATGCAGTGAGACTGGCTTTAGTATATCTGGCTGGAGATGAGAGCATCCTGATTTACCTGTGGTGGGCATAACCTGTGAGGAACTCTGGTTGAATAGTCCTTAGGGAGCTGCACTACTAACCCAAAGGTTGTGCCTTTCTGGCAGTTCAAATCCACCAGCAGCTCTGTGGGAGAAAGATGGGCAATCTCCTCATGAACAATTTATAGCCTCTGAAACCCAATGGAAGGTCAGCTGTGTGTTGATTCCAAATAAAAGACAATGAGTTTGAGACTAACATGAAGTAGCACATTCCCACTTCCATCGCTGAAATTTCAGGACTAGGATAAGAAGATTTGATCAGTCTGTACAGCTAGCTGTCTGTCTCTTTGTCAGTTCTGAGGTGTTAGAAGTGTAGAGGTGGAAGGACCTCCAAGTTTCCTAACAAACTTTCACATAAAACACAATGTTATATGAGCAATTTATTTTGACGTAGAGAAAATGCAACTAATTTCAATAATTGAATTTGATTGTATATCAGAATTAAACTTAACTTTTAGGTTCATATTAGTTTCATTTTGAGATTTAACAAATAAGTTATAGTTATCTAAAGTCTACTATTAATATATTATTTGTCTTGTGTTTAATTTCATCCATTTAAGGAATACATCGCCTTAAACAGAGTTTACCAAAAAGGAAACCAGGATTAATGGCAAAATCATATGATCCAATAGCGCCAATTGCTGAAGAAATCAGTGAAGAAGCTTGTCTCTTATGTTTTGATGAATTTCAGGTAAGGTAGATATTTTTCACAGATGTAGAATAGGATATTGAATGAAATGGTGAGAATTTGAATTCTGCTTAAACTAATCAATTGACAACACATTGTCTCTTTCACTTTCCTTTTATTAAATAGTCTGGAAATGAGCAAACCACAGGCTCACAATGAACCAATCTAGCATGTACCTGTTTTATATAACTAAAGAGAAAATAATTTTATCTATATAGCAATAGATGGTATACCAATTGACATATTTTAGCTAATAGATGCTGTCCTGGATGTGCTCACCAAGTTGTGCCAAGAAATCTTGAGAACAACTACTTGGCCAACTGAGTGAAAGAGATCTATATTTGTTCCCATTCCAAAGATGGGTGACCCAACAGAGAGTGGAAACTATATAACAATATCATTGATTTCATATGCAAGCAAGATTTTACTGAAGATTATCCAAAAATGACTGGAATAGCACATCAGCAGAGAATTGCCAGAAGTCTAGGCTGAGTTTAGAAGGGCTCGTGGTATTAGGGATATTGTAGCTGATGTTAGATGGATCTTAGCTGAAAGCAGAGTATACCAGAAAAATATCTTATCTGTGTTTCATTGATTATGCAAAGGCATTTGACTATGTGGATCATAACAAACTGTGGATGGCTCTGAGAAGAATGGGAAGCCCAGAACACCTGATCGTGCTAATG